GTGAGGGTGAAGCACAGCGCAAGTGAAGCGTAATGATAATAATCATCAACCAATGAAAAGCAAGTCAGTCGCTAGCTAGCTATTCCGACATCACCCATGTTTCACCCTCACCCTCACCCGGGCGAGGCGGAAAAGTTCACCCTCACCCTCACCCTCACCCGCGCGAGGCGGAACACTTCACCCTCACCCTCACCCTCGCCCAAGCAAAGCATAAAACGTCACCCTCACCTCACCCACACCCGGGTGAGATGAGGGTGAGGGTGAGGGTGAGGGTGAAGCACCCGGGTGAAGTGCAAACCCTGGTAGCATTAACATTTTAGCATTTCAAAAAAATAAATAAAAAAATTTAAAACATAAAACAATAAATTTCTTAGCTTTTCACTCATCCGCCTTGGCCAAATTGGTAAAATAGCCTCTTAACAGGCGACTCCGTTCGCAGGCCTTGCAAAAAAATCAATGCCCCTTTCCCTCGAATCGTAACCCTCTTCAGAACATTACGGAAAGTGCTGATCCCGCGGTCACCATTACAGAAAGTGTGGTGAATATACACGCGCAGATGGTCGTCACAACGATGATGCTAGCAACAAGAAATGCCACACCAAAGCGGCCGTGGCGCCGGTGGGCTTCAGCGGACGATCGGCTGTCTTACTTCAACGAAAGGAGAACACTAAACATTGGTAGAACAGATTCTAAGCCCGTTTCCATGTACGTTCCGTTCTCTAAATGCCCCATACTACTCATTCATCCATTCTACAGGTCTCTTCGCCATTAAAAGAGTGACCAAGCAAAGGACTAGAAATAATTGAAAACGTTACGGATCTTCCCTTCCTGTCGTGCATTTTTTTCGCAAAGCCGAAAACAGCGGAGACTGACATTGATGTGCCCTGGACTCCTCTTGGGTCACGGAAGGTTATCGAATAATTCAAGACATGGTCGGCAAAAGTGTAATGTCCCTTTGTCTTTCTATGTAGGTACTTTTGCCAGGCTTTACCGTTAATAAATCACTTTTTAGGAACGTGTTAGGTGAAAACCTTGCACAAGTGAGACAAAATGCAAGGTTGATTTCGTGTCTTAGTCCATGCAAATGTGTCACATGCAATTATCCTAACTGACCACAAATCTATCATTTTCTTGTCAAGTAAACATCCAGCCTAAAGCATATGTTTTTTGTCCACGTGTTCCGAAGCTCATTGCAGGGGTCTTCTCAACCTACAATGTTGCCTTACCCAGGTGCTGAACCATTGCATAGCAGAACCCAATTCAAGGTAACCTGGCTCCATTAACCGCTTTGTCCGCAAAGCAAACGAGTCAGGATCATGTGACACATGAACATTTGAGTTAGGAGCATGCAAACTAGGAGCATATCAGGCAGGTGCGTGCGGAAGCAGGAGCCTTAGAGACGGCGACATGCGGGCAGGAGCATGCACGTGCAGAAGCACGCAAAGTGGTAATACGCGGAATAGGACCATGCGGCGTATGATCATGTAGGAACATGCGGATCAGTTCGGGCTACGCGGAGTAGGAGCATGCGACGCAGGAGCATGCAAAACAGAAACGTTCGAGGCAACCGCGTGCGAAGCAGGATCATGCAACATGCAAGACATGAGAATGCGAGCCAGGAACACACGCAGCAGGACCATGCGGCGCAGCAGTATGCGTAGCAGATACTGCAACGTGGACGCTCGCGAAGCATGAATGGTCATTTTCGGAAATATGGAATGTTATACAGCACACCCTGTCAAGCGTAGCCATCAACGCGGGCCGGACCCCGGTCTACTTAAAAACCCCTACGCACACTTATGATGCTGCTCAGAATTTTTGCGACTACCGGAAAAAGGATTGAAACGTCATGAGCATTCTTCTCTTCGGTGCCGGCTTCACCAGATCAGCATCTGCGATAACAACCGGCGGGAATCGAACCCGCGTCGCCTCCGTTGGGAGGCATCCGTGCCACTGGACCACGGTTGTGCTACAGATTGCAAATGCTTCACTGGATCCGCCGACGCGAAGAGCTCGCTTAGACGATGTTCGTGAATCGGAAAATGTTTTCGAAAAATAATTCAATTAAGAAATAGCTATTACCGTGAAGGAAGTTAACGCCTATCCGGAGAAAACACATTTCTAAGGGGTCCCGCAAAAAATGAAAAATCAATTTTCTAAAAACTTTCCCGCGACGAATGGCGAACAAAATGGGTAATAATCAGGTAAGCCGTTTTGGGCAGCATGCGAAGCAGGGACATGCGAAGCCGGATCGTTCAATGTAGGAGCACATGAAGCAGGATCGTGGGAAACAGGAACACCGAGTAGGAGCAGGCGGCGCAGGTGCGTGCGGAGCAGGATCACGGAAGGCCAGAGTACTCGAAGCTTTAGCATCGGACGCAGTAACATGCGACGTGCAAACAGGAGAAACAGACCATGCGATAGCAGAAGTAGAGATCTGAAAGCTGAGAATTACGACGTAAATATTCTAAAACCAGGAGCACCAGGAGCACTCAGGAAAATTATCGAAATTTGAAGCAAGAGGCTCAGTCATTAACTCGCTCCGGACCCGGGCTACCGACCGACCTAATTTAAAAAAACCCTCCGCGCACTTATGCAGCTGCTAAAAGTCGGTGAAAAAATTCTTGAGTTTTCTTTGACATCGACTTCACCAGCTCAGCATTTGCGATAACAACCGGCGGGAATCGAACCCGCGTCGCCTCCGTTAGGAGGCATCCGTGCCACTGGACCACGGTTGTGCTACAGGTTGCAAACGCTTTGCCGGATCCGCCAATGCCAAAAACTCGTTTGGACGCTAGTTGTGGACCAGAAAATAGTCTCAAAAATAATTCAGTCATTATCGCGGAAAAATAAACTCGTACACTAAGAGTAAACCCATTTTCGTGAAGATGCATCCAAGTAAACAGTGGGTACAGGAGCTCGGAGTGTGGGCTGAATAGACGAGAATTCCTGTTTTCTACAAAATTTTTTGCTAAAATTAAAAGGCAATTGTCCCCTCAAAACAATTAATTTTGCTGCCATGAAGTCGATTAAACTACGTGATAAACTGGGAAGACGTTTCACTGCGAACGGGAGATGACGAAAAGCGTCTTCCCGTCCGAGCTGCGCCCACTACAATTTCGATGATTTTGGCGAAGTGCCGTGACGGTCGCTAACAGTTTTAGTAGCGACCCGTGGGATAAAGAAATGAAGTAACGCAATACAGCACTCAATGTTGGCCTAAATTTAAAACGTGCTTGCCATTTTTGTTATTTTGGCTAAAGGCAGAGGAACACAAAAAATTCTATGATTTTTGCCAATCTTGCTTCAAAAAGTCGAAAATAAAATGATAGCTTTCAATAATTTTTACCGAATAAAATATTTTCGCCTAAAACAAAATTAATGCCACGCATATAAATGATAACCACTGCATAATTTCAGAAACTCTACCTCAAGACGGCGACTAAGATGGCACCGAAGTCGGCAGCAGCGAAGGCGGCACTGAAGAAGGAGCTGGCGGTCCCACGGTCCTGGTTAGTCCTAAATCTAGATCAGTTTAATTAATTTAACCAACGTTTAGGAATCGCAAGGAGCTGGTGGCGGTGGACAAGCTCGGCCATGGAGGACAGGCGTGTGTGTACGAGGTGCGGTTGAAGGCGGCGCACTCATCGACCGCGCCCACCTTCGCGTACCGGGAGGTAAACCGCAAAAGTATCCGCAATTTTTGCATAATGATTTTTAGGAGGTCCTTTCGGACAACGGAACGGTGACGCCGGAGGCGAGGCGTAAGGTCCTCGACCACCTCTCCATCCACGGGCAGCTGCGCGAGTAAGTTAACCCTATAATGTTCCTAAGATTCACTTCCTATGAAAACTCATTCAGGTCGCACTTCGTCCTCCCGCTTCTCGCCTACGGATTCGAAGTGCGCGATGGCAAGCTGCTCATGGTGAGCATCATGCCACTAGCAAAAGGCACACTGCTGAGCGCCGAGTTTATGGCCAAGGACGGGCTCAAGAAGGACTACAGGCCCTGGATGAAGCTGGTGAGAATTTTATTGCAATTTAAGGAATGTTAGCTTCCCGCGATTAAAAAATTTTAATGATAATCATTTAGTTTTTATATTAATGGAATTTTCAAATTTAATTCTATAAAACTATACAATGATATTTAAAACAAATATTATTTCCATATATTGTTGTTGTCTTAAATGCAAGTTTTAGTGGGAGCTGCACTTCGCCCTCGGGGTCAAGGACGTCCACCGCCTTGGCTTCAGCCACAACGACCTGACGGCGGGCAACCTGTTCGTGATGGAGGAGAAGATGGGCGACAAGAAAGTGCTCAACCTCGTCATCGGGGACTTTGGAAAGGCGAGCAAGCAGGCCAGTGCGGCGGAAAAGGTGAGAAAGCGGGCGAGGGAATTGCGGGGAGAATGGTGCGTTAACAGTGTTTCTTCCAGGAGGACGACGTCCGCCTCCTCTACAGCGCTCACGTTCGCATGCAGTGCGGCGCCGCTGCACTCGAAGCGTTGTCGGTCGCGTCCGGCTCGGCCTCGGTGAAGCAGGAGGTAGAGCGCGACAGCAACGAGAAGTGCATGCTCGCAACGGTGCGTCACTAACTTTAAGGCATGAAACGGAGCAGTTTGTTTCAGATTAACGACCTCGGCGTGACAGCGGAGCGAGTACCTCTGTTTCCCTACTTCCAGGGGAAGGATAGCGGAAAGCAGCATCCGCAGTGGTCGTTGGATCTAGAGGACCTGCCTGCACCGTACAAGGGCCACCCGCTCACACGCCGTCCGGATGCGAAACTGTAAGGGGCAGTTTTTTCAATTATTTTAATTTTAATATTAAGGAATGTTTTATGATGAAAATGAAATTTGATTTTTAACCAAATAATTTCATACTTAAGGTGCATTAAATTTTTAAATAAATAAATATTTTATGTTTTCAAGTTCAATATAAATAAATCAAAAGGTAATCCACCTCAAAATTTTGCGGGTGACAGGGGCGGAGCGTTATTAAAACGTAAGACCGAAGCTCTGAGCCAAATTTGCAGGCTCGCGATCCTCCAGGAAGGTGACGGTCGATTGCGCTTGCGCAAGGCCTATGCGCACTGCGACGACGAAGTGCCTGTGCAAGCGGACGTCGCCGGCCTCCTCCATCCCTACCTCGGGCGAAGCGGCTTCACGTGCGCGGAAAAAGAAGGTGGTCAGTGCCCTGTCCCTCCGCGCGCCCTCTTCAACAGGGACAACTTCGAGGCTCACCGCCATCCGGGCACTGTGAAAGCGGGCAAGAAGGCGAAGGCGATTCACAAGACGGACATCTTCAGTGCGGTGGTCGCCACGATACCCACGAACAGGCCGAACATGGTAACTGTGGCTTTAGTTGGCCAAGGGTGGGCTCCCCTGTTTTAAATTTTCCCAGTAAAAGCCAAAATTCGGATCAAGTTTGCCTATTCAGGTCTACTCGCGGAAGATCGTGCTGTGCGAGGAACCGTCGCACATGAGGAACGGACGGAAGTGCTGGATGGACGTGGCCTTGCACAACCAGGCAGGCGTCTACCACGTCTTCAAGTACAAAGACGGCAGCAGGGCGGAGGACAACTGGTGAGTGTTGAAGATCCGCTGCTTGTTCATTGCGTCCGTCGTTTTCAGGATGCCTTGCGACGAGCTCCTCCATCTGGGCCAGATCGTCGAGGGAACTCATGGCCGCTTGAAGTACGAGCCGTGGATTGACCTCTTCACGCACGCCGCGGGTAAGAACCACGGGGGCGGCGGGGGGAGCGAGCGGATGGGGCAGCACATTTTTTCTCGAGCGCGCGTTTAACAAGATTTTTAAAATGTTTTTGCTTATATAAATCTTAATTTAAGAAAAATTTTTGTGATTTTTGGTAACTACAAGTTCATTAATTTAAATTTAGTTTTAGCCGGGACCCGTTTCACTTGGGACCCAGTTTACCCGGAGCCCATTTTCGCGAACAGTTTTAAGCGTAGCACGTTAGCGTCACGTCGTGGCTTTGTCGGCATGCGAAGCGTAGAAGTTCGAAGCAGCTTACCTGAAAAAGGAAATGTAGCGTGTGCGCTAGTCGTTCAATTTAAGGAGGATGGGCATAGCATAAAGAATGAAAGAGTAGTCTTAATCTCCTGCCAATCCTGTCGCTTAACTAGGGTGATCATGACTAGAGGCAGACGCTTCTCCCTTTCCCTCACGTACCGAGCCACACAACATTTTTCAGGCAAGCGCGACCTCTCCACCAAGGACCCGCTGGTGCGCCACCTGGCCTACTACGGCATCACCTGGAGCGAAGCGACCGAGCATGCCATCAACGCCGCCCTGGACGCCAAGATCAACGAAGCCGAAAAGGTAAAAACCATTTCACACAATGTCCACACGCACCGGTGTCCCGCAAGTAATTCGGACAGCCGGCCATGCCCTCCGCACTCGTCGCGCTCCTCCTCGCCACGTCCATCGCACTCGCCTCGCCCTCTCTCTCTCTCTGTCCTCTTGCTACCACCTTGCTTCCCCTAGCTCTCTCGAACGGCATCTTTTCGGGTTAAGTCGCTTTAAATTATTTTTAAGTTTTTGTTCAGCCAAAAATAAATTCAAAATCTTCCAAAATTAAACCAAATTTTAAAATATTACTTTTTGGCTTGTGTCCAGCTTTCTTTATTTAATGTCAAGGTAAAATAACTTTCGTATTTTTTCGCATTTACTAGACGCTCGCTTAACTTTCAGCTTTGCTAAGTCGCTTTCGTTATTTTTATAAGTGTATGGAACAAGAACGGTTAGGGTTTCCACTAATTTGAAGAATTTTCGATTTTTCCTCGTTACCAAAATGACCGCTTCGAGACAGCATACTTGTTAGCCACTCTTTATCTCGCCGGACACCCAGTAGCCACTTCTCTCTCACTCGCACTAGGACCGTTTTCACTTCTTTTTGTTTTGTTTTTTATTTTACTTTCACTCATACCCAGCTTTAAGACGTTCACTTTCCCCTAAATTGCTTGCAATTCTCGTAACACCGGTTTTGGCCTTTTGTTGTACTATGCACTTGTTGAAACCTTTTCGCTCAACTCTCCCTAAATTCTGCTTATCATTTCTCGCAACACTACCTTTTAGTCCAACTTTCCACCAAATTTTCGAATAAAATTTTCCTCAACAGAGACTATGATCCTTTATGCTAGGTATGCTTTGGGCGGAACGCCTACGGACGCCTACGATTCGAGAGAGACCTACTTTGCATAATGTTGACCTAGCTACGCTTAAATGTGCTCAATGCAAATCGGATAGGACAGGGCCCTTACTACCTAACCTAGAAGGGTGCTACTCAAGGAGGCCCTCTCAGTAAGCGAGTAGTGCACACCTCAAATGGAGGACGAGGACGCGCGGCCGATCCTCGCGGTCCCCGTCCTCAAGCCGCCGACGTGCAGCTGCTCCGGTCCTCGTCGGCTGGTCTCCACGCCCGCGTCCGCAGTCGGTGCTTGCGATGAGCTCGTCTTCCGGTCGTTCTCGACATCGACGTTCGCCAGCGCTGCGGCTTCCGAGGTGGTGGATGCGTCGTCCTAAAGTGGGAATAGTTAAGGAGACTGGATGGGTGTCTTACTTCGTTATCGTTCTCCGAGACGTCGATGGCCGAGTCGGAGGCTGACGGTGCCTCTGTGGGTTCTTGGAACGGCGGAATGTAGGCGGTGCTGCTCTTGATGAGCTCGGCGATGAAGACCCAAGGACCTCTTTGGCCTAAAAGGAGTGATGTACTTCCGCCA